GAGGGAGAGGAGGGCCACGAATGGAGCTCCCTATGAGGCCACGAAGCGCTGTACTGGGTGGATGCAACGTAGGGAGAAGGGGGAGGAGGGCCACGAAACGCTGTGTTGGGTGGGGGGGACGCATGCGGACGGTAGACCTGGAACCTTCGGTGGAGCTCCCTATGGGAACACGAAACGGTGTACTGGTTGGGTGAAACGCAAGGAGGAAACGGAGGAAGGAGGAGGGAGGAGGGGAGGAGGAGAGGAGGAGGGCCACGAAAACGCTGTGTTGGGTGGGGGGGACGCGTGCGGACGGTAGACCTGGAACCTTCGGTGGAGCTCCCTATGAGGCCACGAAACGGTGTACTGGGTGGGTGAAACGCAGGGAGGCGGGGAGGAGGGCCACAAAACGCTGTGTTGGGTGCGGGGGACGCATGCGGACGGTAGACCTGGAACCTTCGGTGGAGCTCCCTATTAGACCTTTTCTGGTGGGGACTGTCTTGTTTTATCGCGTCGGGTCTATGCTCTAAGAACAATGCTGTTGTTCTCAGAACACTTTTGCGTTCTGAGAACATTTCGTGGTAGGAATATAGGAATGCCGGGACGAAAAAAACATGCCGGGATGGAAAACATCATACATTTTTTGTTGTTGTTCTTTTGTATGTTTTTTTGGGGGGGGGGTCTTTGCTCACTGTGCAGTGCTGCCCCTGGAGGCGTCCGACCTCCGGTCCGTCCCCTGTCTTCTGTCGCGGCCGCCGTGCCGTGCCCTCGCCGTGGCCCTCCCAACATCCGCCTCCTGGTCGAGGCCTCCCGCATGGGGTCGGCATCGAAAAAAAAAAGGCAAAAACACACAAAACATACAAAAAGACACAAAAAACAGAAAACAACACAAACAAAACAACAAACACAAAACACACACACAAACAAAAACAGGGTCGGAGGATCTCTCCGCGTCGCCGATGCGTCGGCCACGTGTCGGCGGCGAGCGAGAGGGGGAACTGAGAAGGGGCGGGCTTTCTCAGAAGGCTCGGAAGTCCCCCGGGCTTCTCGGAAGTTTCCCGAGCCTTCCCCGAGGACAGGAAGAACTTCTCAGAAGGCGCGAGGGTCTCTGAGAGGTCCCACCGCCTTCGGAGAAGACATTCTCCTTCTGACTTCCCCCCCTTGCTCGCCGCCAAATGTGGCTCCATGTGGAGCCAGAGTTTTTCCACGCCGGCGTCGCCGATGCACCTCCGACGTCGCCGATGCATCGTCGATGTATCGGCGAGGCATCGGCGATGCATTTGCGAAGCCGCGCGATCCCCCGACCCCATCTACTCGGACCCCATCGGGGGTGCCTCTATCCAGTCCTCCACCTCATCGCCATGCCCCCCTTGTCCTATTGAGTGTTATCCAGTCGGGCAGGCAAAGCTGACCGAGGCCAACGAGTTCCCAACGCTGAAAGAGATCCTCAGGACAGCCGCCAGCCACGCAAGCCAACCGCCACATGAAATGATTATTCTTTCCTCTGCGCTCACACTTGCCGAATGGTGGGATGTTTCTTCCCCTATACGCCCACTGGTCCCTCCTGACCGTGGCCGTCACATTCTACAAGCGGCTGCTCTCGCCATTGGTGAAATTACGCTTCAGCGATGTGTGACGATGCATTTCCCACCGCAGCAAGCTGACAAAGTGTGCGAAACTCAGATTCAGAATCGCTGCGGGCATAGACGCGCGCACGTGTCAGTGTTGCACATGTGCACGCCTGTCGCTGCAGCATCCCAGCCCCCGTTCCAGCGCTGCTGGTCCTGATGCAGCCTTTTTTTTGTCAGTTGTTCATGGCTTGCTAATTTCAGCACCACCCCATCCCTAGCTTCCCCGACGATCCGCACTCCGTATTTGGTCCTGATGCAACCTTTTTGGTCAGTTGTTCGTGGCTTGCCAATTTCAGCACCACCCCATCCCTAGCTTCCCGACGATCCGCACTCCGTACTTCGGGGGCGCCCAAGGGCGGGGGTTTGGTCTGGGAGTGCTTGGCATCGCTCGGACGTGTGCGTTTTTTCCTCGGCGAGCGCCATCGAGGAGCATCCTTGATCATTTGGCGAAAACACCACGCACGAAACCAAAAAAAACACAGGAAATGGACGTCCGAGCGATGGCCAGAGTGCGGGTGCGGATGTCTGTGGCCAGCGCCAATGGCATCTCCCCGGATGCCATGGCCCCCGTCTTCCTCTTCTTCTCGCTCGGCGCGTCCCCGGGCGTCCCCACCCCGTGCGCGCAGATGCTTCGGCCCAGGATCTGCAGAGGAGGAGGAGGAGGAGGAGGAGGAGGAGGAGAAGGAGGAGGAGGAGGAGGAGGAGGAGGAGGAGGAGGAGGAGGACCCCTCCTGGACGCCCCCGGGAACAGCGGCTCCAGGCTGCCTGCCCACATGTGTGTGCGCGGTACGCGCCCGAGCAGGTTGCTGCCCTGCGACGCAGCCCAGCTGAGCTGTAGCCGTGCGCCCTCCCCCGCTTTGAGGTGCCATGCGTCGGGCTCACTTCGACTCCTCCGACTCGATCCTATTTTCGGGGGCGGAAAAGAGGGGGGTGATGACTAGGGGGGGGTGGATATCATGGCGGGTTTCATGATATTTCTCCAGATTTCATGGCGCCTCTTCTTATTTCATTACGTCCATGGCCCCCCCCGCTGGGCCGCGCACATGCCGCCGGTCACGATTTGCGCCCCCCCTCTTGGACACCCTCCTCTTGGCCGCTCCCGATATTTGATATCGATCGATTCCGATTCCGATTCGACTTCAGTCTTGGATTTGGGCTCCCCTTTCTCAATGGATGCCTCACAGCTTGCGGTTTCCGTCGATTCGACGTCTTCCGACCGTGCTGCCGGCTTCCGCCGATCAAATTTATTTCGATCGCCGATCCGATTCATCGATTCGACTCTTGGCTCTCCTGGCAATCCACCGCTTGGGTGTGCCATGCGTCAGAGGAGGAACATATTCTGGTACCTCTGCTCGTCCTTGAGCGCTCTCGTTGCCACGGCTTGAGTCTCCTCGGAACTCTGGTCAGGATGCACTCTGGGAGAGCTCTAGGCAGTAGCGGTATTGGTACCCTTTTGTCCCCCCAGTGCAGTCCCGCGTAATGCGTGTGCGCCCATTGGCTAACCTCATGGTTACATCACACTGGTCATGGTTGCCCCGTGCTTTCACTGGGGGAGGATAAAGCTGCATAAATGTACGCGAGGGCCGCGTGGATGTCTCGGATCGGCGTCGAGTCGCCCGCCCCCCTGGCGCGGAGTGGGTGACTCATCGCCGATCCAGCGCCAATCCATGAAATCCGCTCGGACCTCCGAGAGCTCATGTTTAGGCTTGTATAGCTCGCCTCCTCCACAAAAATATCTGCACAGATACCCTCCAATAGATTGTTCCGGGGCCTCAGGAGAGAGTGGCGGTGCATAAATCACCATTGGGAGCCGGCGACTTTTTACACCGCCGCTCTCCCTGAAGGTACAAGCAGAGTTAGTCGGAGGTGTTGAGCCAAGCTGTGGCATCAGGAGGACTGAGGCTCCCTTGAGCCGTTTGTCTCCCCCTCTTCTCCCCTCCCTTCTTGCACGAGGCCGATGATTTGCGAAGGTCTTGCGCTCCTTCGCTCGTCCCAGCTCGTCAGCGAGTCTGGCCGCCGCTCCGCCAGATTCAGCAAGCTGTTTGGGGACGACATGAAGCTCGACAACCTGAACACGAAACAGCTCGAGACGATGTCGCGGCTGCTCGGCCTCAGCCACTCGCGGCACATGTGGCGGCCTTTCGTTGAGGTGGGGCCCCGGAGTGGCATGCTGAGGATGCAGATCAGGATATGTTGTTGATGACATCGACAGGGGGTAAGATGTTGGTGGATGTTGGAAACGCTCAGGGCGTTATCTGAAACATGTTTTGTTCATAGTCTCTGTCCTGCAATATACGGTTGAGCTAAACACAATTTCCCACGCTGATCAGTGGCGACAGCTCTTTCAGTATCCAGATTCGTCCTCCGCAGACTTAGCCTGGCCTCCCCGGGGCCATCTGGGCGAAGTTGCCTGCCTGAGAGCGTTGTCAATACGTTTCCAATGCGTGTGCAACACCGTGTTCATGTCCTCTGCAAGGCATGGCGCTCTGTTCCACGGGAACGTGTTCCAGTCATTTTCAAGTTTCATCCACATGTTTTGGACTAGGTTTTGAGAGTGCTGGTCCACAACATTCTTTTCACCAGTTTCCAGCTACACTTTTGTAATCGTTTCCAGGTCCACGTTGTTGCCTCAAAAGAGGAGTGGTTGAGTACTAAGATGATGCTGATGGCGACGATGACGGTGTTGCTGACGCTGACGATCATAATGACGAGGATGAGTACATTCGTAATGATGATGGGGATTTTGGGAAAGTGGATACAGCCGATGTCCTCACTCTTTCCCTGTTATGCAAGAGGATGACGACAATGTGTTTGCTGCTCAGCCGGGATGATGATATGGGGCAGGAGAGCGATCAGGAACAACGAGGATATGGAGACCGAAGACAGTGGAGAGCTGGAGAAACGAGATGGGCTTGGGGGCAGGAACTGGTAGCAAGGAGAGTGGGAATGGCCATTGAGGGCCGAAGGGGGAACGGGAGGGATGAGCGAGGAAACCTCAGGGAGGAAGGACGAAGGAGGGAGAGGGGAGGACAGGAAAGGGGGGGAGGCTGGACAGGACGAGCAGGACGAGGACACGGAGGAGGAGGAGCGAGGAGGGCGGAGGCGGAGGAGCACCTCTCCCGCCCCCTTGGGAGGTGACCGCGAGGACACCCTCCCCTCCCCTGCCTCCTCCCTCCCGCCGCGCGAGCGCGCCGCCGCGTGCCAGGTGGCTCACCTCTTGCGGGCCTCGGGCCTCGGGCCCCCCCCGCCCCCCCCCCCCCCCCCCCCCCCCCCCCCCCCCCACGCCTCCGCCCGTCCACTACCTTCTCCTCCCTTCTCTCCTCTCCTCTCCTCCTCCTCCTCCTCCTCCTCCTCCTCCTCCTTCTCTCCTCCTCTTTCTCCTCCCCCCCCCCCCCGCCCGCCCGATGGCGTTCCTCGTCGCCGGGCGCGCGGCGCTCGGGGCCGCCGGCGCCCCCCCGGTGGCCGCGCACCCCGGCCACGTGCCTCGGGGCCGCGACCTCGGCTGCGGGGGCGGCGGCGGAGGTCTGGACTGGTGGGGCAGGGAGCGGCCCAGGCTCCCCCGCCCCCTCCTAACTACCCCTTCCGCCTCGTCCTCCTCCCCCCCCCTCCCTCCAACTCCTCCTCCCTCCTCTTCCTCCTCCTTATCCTTCTCCTCCTCCTCCTCCCTCCTCCTCCTCCTCCTCCTCCTCTCATCCCTCCCCCCTCCTCCTTCCCTCCTCCTCCTCTCCTTCCTCCCCCCCCCTCCTCCTCTCCTCCTCCTCACCCTCCCCTTCACTCCTCCTACCTCCTCCTCCTCCTCTCCTCCTCCTCCTCCTCCTCCTCCTACCTCCTCCTCCTCCTCCTCCTCCCCTCCTACCTCCTCTCCTCCTTCCTCCTCCTCTTCTCCTTTTCCTCCTCCTCCTCCTCCTCCTCCTCCTCCTCCTCCTCCTCCTCCCTGTCTCGGTATGGCCCCAAGTGCTCTACGCCTCCTCCCTGTCTCGGTGTGGGCCCGATCAGCCTGCTTCTAGCGTGGTGCGCCTTCGTGCTATCGCAAGCCTTCAGGGTCCGAGATGAGAGGGGCTATATGGTCCCGCAGGCTTGCCCGAGACTGCTGTGAAGTTGCAAGCAGCAACTTGTCATGGCCAGAGCATCCACCCATTAGAGGTGAGCCTTCAAGGCAGGAGACAGCAGCCGCCCAGGTCTTGCCTTGCCTTGCCTTCTGCCTCTCTCGTCTTCCTCCTTCCCCTTGCCCCCCCCCCCCGATGCTTCCTCCTGCCCCTCATTCTCATCACATGTAGCCCAGCATGCGTCCTGCAGCTTTTCAAGGACTCTCTGGGGCGCCTTGTCGTCACGGCTGGCGTGTTTCTCGGAACTCTGGCGCGGCGAGCGTGGAAGCAGCGTTGTTTTTGTTTATACTTATGGTGCGGGGCTGGTCTCAGTGCGTACAGTTAAGCTGACTAGGCGGCTAGTCACTGTAGGCCCCTCAACAAGAAGGACCAAGACATTGTGAAGCGATACTTCCAGGGGAAGCCGCTCGACCGAAAGGCCCAGGAGCTCCTGGATCGGTCGTTGTCCCTAACTGGCCAGGCTTGCCCCGCCTCGGCTGGAGACGCTGGCGCACTCGGAGTCTTCGGCGGATCCTGACTCTACGGAGATGAGTATACCCTTTTCGGCCTCAGGGGCAGCCCCCTTCTCCTTGGCAGCGCATGGCTGCGCTTTCGGACGCTGCGATGATCCAAGAATAGCGAACGTGCTAAACATATACGTTGTCCGACGGGATTGAGACGAGTCTGGTCTCCTGCGGCCCTCTTGGGAGGCCTCTCTTCGAGCGTCGTGGCCCTTCTTGGGATACTTCTCGAGGGTCTTGGGGCGATGGTGGGATGCATCACCCGTTCCCTGCTAGACAATTCGCGACATGAACGCTCCAGAGGCCCCCAATAGTGCTCTCGGCTGAGAATCGCCAATCTTTGTTCCTATCGTTACCCTTCCGGTCGTCTGCGACACCTCGCTGTTCGTTCGGTTGAGAAGAGCCGGAGTTGTGGAATCGCTGGCCCAGCAGGTGTGATCCTTGAATTTGGCGCCTGTATAGCTGGTGCTGCCGATATTGGCTGCGTGCGTAGAGCCGCCAGCCAAGGATTATGATATGTTGACGTCGGCGCCCCGCCCAGTGGCTTTTCGGCCGAAAGATGCCGCGCCTTTTGCCATTTTCGTTAGCTCGCGAGTAGTCTCTCGCATTACTGCAGGGAGCTGCGAACGGAAGCGCCACAAAAAAACAAATCGCAATCGCACCCATTGTTTCTGTACCCAAGGGCCCTCCTGACGGCGTCCACATTGAAGAAGGGACATTATTTCGTCGCCGGGGGCCTTCTCGACAGGTCTTGCAGTTGGCGGTCGCTTGGCGGCCATTCCTTCTCGCCGTTCTGCTACAGATTTTGTGTCGGCAGCGTCGAGTTGCGCTGCCCTATTGGGGGCGAGTGTGCCGGCAGCGTCTAGATGGAGGACCCTCCCGTCCCCTTCAAGGGAAACAAACAATGCCATAAACAGGACAACTCTGAGGTCCGCGCGGATTCTTCGGATCGGCGGTGGACACCTCTCCCGCGCATGGGGTGGCACTGGAGGCGCCGTCAGGGAGCCCCCCGCGCCGATCCGAAGAATCCGCGCGGACATCCCAGTTCTCATGTGTCTGTCATTGCTTGTTCCCCTACCCCTCGAGGAGAGCATTGTTTCTCCACCCGCTAGAGTTTTTTCATACACTCACCCATCGTAACGTCCGTTACGGGGGGGAATCGATCCCCCGTGAAGTAGTCACGGTAACGTGGTAGGGCCCAACGGGTGTAACCCCAGGCGCCAGATGACGACGCCGACGAGGACGACGAGGACGACGACGACGTTGACGACGACAACGCCGACGCTGACAACGACGACGACCGCCTCTGGAGGCGTCTGGAGACCCTCGGCGGAGACGACGACGACGACGACGGCCGCCTCTGAGGGTCTCCAGATGTCTCTGGAGGCCTCAGGGGATCTCTGAAGGCCTCGCGACCGAAGGCCCTCCGCGGCGCTCGGGAACGACGACGACGATGATGACGATGAGGACAGAGGGCGACAAGGTCGACGATGACGATGAGAAGGACGACGGTGACGACGATGACGACCACGACAAAGACAACGACGCTGACGACGGCGACGACGACGACGACGACCACCGCCCTCTGGCGGCGTCTAGGACGTCGGACGCTTGTCAGCACCACGTCATGCCTGTGAACACGACCTCATTCCTGTTGGGCACCCCCCCGCCCTGATGCTCGTTAAAGATTGGGGGGGAGCCCCCCCCGTAGCGGACGTTACGTGGTTAATGAGTATTCGTTTTGCGAAGGACACAACCACATGCAGTTGCGAGTACAGTCGTGTGAGTATGCCTTCGGTGGATCTCCTGAAGAGACCACGGAGCGTGTGAAGAGTGTGCCGAAATGGAGCGGTGCGGACATGCGGGGGTTGCCCTTGGTGTTTGAGATCGAGCCACGTCTGGGGCAACGAAGCGTGTAAGGGGTGTGCCGAAATGAGGCGGGACCGCCATGCGGGTGCTGTCACTGGGGCATTCGGGCCTTTGGGCCTTCGGTGGAGCTCCCTGCGTATGATACCACGACAAAAGGCATGCGGGCCCTGGCACTTGCGCCGTCGGTGGAGCTCCCTATAGGGCCACGGAGAGTGTACGGGGTGTGCCGAAATCGGGAGGGGCAGCTGCATTTTGACACCGCCACTGGGTCCTTCGGTGGAGTTTCCTATGGGGCCACGAATCGTGTGAGGGGTGTGCCGAAATTGGGCGTGACGCCCACATGCGAATGCTCTCTCTGGGGCCTTCGGCGGAGCTCTGTGGGGCCGCGAAGCCTCTGAGGGGTGTGCCAATTCGCAACGGGCGTGGCGCCCACATGCGAACGATCCCTGTGGGGCCTTCAGTGGAGCTGCCTATGGGGCCATACAGCGTGTGAGGTGTGTGCCGAGAAGGGCGTGGCACCCACGTGCGAACGCTCCCTCTGGGGCCTTCGGTGAAGCTCCTTATGGGGCTACGAAGCGTGTGAGGGATGTCCCGAAACGTGCGTGGCGCACACATGCGAACGTTCCCTCTGGGGCCTTCCGTGGGGCTCCGCATGAGGCCACGGAACGCGTTAGGGGTGTGCCGAAATGACATGGGGCGTGACGCCCACATGCGAATACCCCTTCTGGAGCAGTCGTTGGAGCTGGCGCCGCGAAATTATTGAGGGTGTGCCGAAATGGGGCGTCTCTTGGGAGGCATTTCGGGTGCCTCTCGGCGATATTCTGGGACCTCCTGGGTCTTCTTGGGTGCCTCTGGGCGATATTCTGGGACCTCCTGGGTCTTCTTGGGGGCCTCTTGGGGGCCTCTTGAGGGCCTCGTGGAGGAATCTTGGGGGCCTCTCGGGGGCATCCTGAAAACAATTTTTGACAAATCACAAATGTGTGCCTCTGGGGGCCCTCTGGGGAGGTCTCTTGGAGGATGCTTGAGGCGTCTTGCAGGCTTCCTTGGCCGTCTGGAGACTATCTTGGTGTCTTGGGCTGGTTGTTCGGTGACTCGGACCCCTGTTGGATCGTCTTGGGGGCCTCTTGGGGCTCTCTCTGCGCGCTCTGGGGGGCCTGAGAGGCTGCACCCAGGAGGAAAACCACCTCCGAGTGAAGGTTCGCCGGGGATCAGCTGGGGTACTTCTGATCTGGGGACTCCCCGGGGCGGCCCCGCGCGCGCAGACGAGATACCTTCTGAGATAGTTACCAGAGATCTGAGCACGCCTCTCGCTCGCTGGGCCGGCGAATTTCTACTCCCGATGCTGTATGTTCTGATTGAGATGTTTTTCGGGGCCGCTCAGAGGAGGGCGATCGATCGGAATGCTTCAAGCCTTGGACTTCGTGGGTTCTCTCCGGTTTTCTCGCCCCGGGATGCTTCCCAGCACGCGCCTGCTCGTCTAGGGCGTCCCGGCGGTGCCCAGATCGTCGCCCCGATCGGCCGCCAGAGGCCTGATCCATTGCCCGAACGCCGCGCCTCCTCGAGGAGGAGCAGCGACGAGGGCCGACTCCATCGCTGCCTGGAGGGCTTCCCCGAAGGGCTTAGGCGACCCGTCCTCGTCCTCCTCCTCCTCCTCCTCCTCCATATCCTTCTCCTCCTCCCACATCTCCTCCTCCTCCCCCTTCTCCACCTCATCCTCCTCCTGCCCGGGTCGCCTACGGCCCCGGGGGAGTCCGTGCATCGTTGCACCTCCTCGAGGAAGGAGCACCTGTAGAAAGGTAGGGCGTCCGGAGATCCGCACCACTCTCCGCTTGCCTCATCGGTCCATCCTTGGCCACTTTCGGTGGCCTCGCTCCGCTTGTCGAAAAAGCTTCGAAACTGGTGTCCAAGGCCCTTGCATTCTCATCGTGCATCCTTCTGATACGGGTTTACTGTACATCCTTTCTACGCGTTCTAATGAAGGCCTCCTAGAAGTTGCTTCCTAAAGCCTGCACGCCGCCAGCCCCACCCACTCTCCCAAAACTCCGACGCAGTGTTCTTCCACGACGTGCACACCAAGGGGTTCGGACCGCTTCTATGGGACGGGTTTTTCACCCCAGCTAGCTCTTGACGGTCTTGGGGCTCGCCGAGGGCCCCCAGGGGCTGAAGATCACAAAACACTGTCCGTCGTGATTGCCTCACTCCGAGAGGAGGCCTGGACCCCGCCCAGCGTTCCCCCACGCCCCCCCCTCCCCCCTAAAGTGTTCCTCCCCCACCCTGCCGAGACCACGAGATGCAGGTCGACTGGCCGCTGCCGAAGCGTCGCCGCGCGGACGCTGGTGGTCTCTGGCACCAGGCGCCGGCGCGGCGCGAGAGAGGGCGGGGCTGCGGATGAGGATCATCGAAGAGGGGGAGGAGGAGGAGGAGGAGGAGGGGGAGGAGGAGGAGAGGAGGAGGAGGAGGAGGAGGAGGAGGCGGAGGAGGAGGAGGAGGAGGACCCAGACCCCCTCGCGTCGTGGAAAAGTCATGACAGAGGGTTTTTGTTTCCCTGGTTTTCTGCCTCTGGTGCCCTCGCCGTGCCCCAGGACTGGTGCAGAAACGACCCGGGATGAGACTCAGCCCGCGGGAAGGGGTTCAGACGTTTGGGTGCGCACGTCGGTGAGAAGTCCTGGCGTCGGGAGGTTTGGGGGGTGGAGGGGGAGGGGATGATGATGATGATGATGATGATGATGATGATGATGATGATGATGATGATGATGGAGAGGAGGAGGAGGAGGAGGAGGAGGAGGAGGAGGAGGAGGAGGCGGAGGAGGAGGAGGAGGAGGGGAGGAAGGAGGAGGGAGGAAGGAGGGGGAGGAGGAGGAGGAGGAGGAGGAGGAGGAGGAGGAGGAGGAGGAGGGAGGAGGAGGAGGACGAAGGAAGAGGAGACGACGACGAGGACGGAGAGGAGGACGAGGAGGAGGAGGAGGAGGAGGAGGAGGAGGAGGAGGAGGAGGAGGAGGAGGAGGGGGAGGCGGATCCGTGGCCATTTTGGCCCCGGGGCCGCCTGCGGGCTCCGTGCCACCGTGCCCGCCTGCGCCTGCCTGCCGCCCCCTGCCGCGCTGGGCCGGCCCTGGCCGGCGGGGGCGGGTGCCGGGCCTCCGAGGAGCGGTGCGCCGAGGGCTCCCGGCGGAGGCCCCGTGCCGGACGGGGAGCGAGCTCGCCTTTTTTTTGTTTTCGCTCCGCGGGGAACGAGCTCGCCCCTCCTCCTCCTCCTCCTCCTCCTCCTCGTCCACCCTCTTCCTCCTCCTCGTCCACCCTCCTCCTCCTCCTCTTCCTCCTCCTCCTCTTCCTCCTCCAGCCGCCGCTCTGGTACAAGGCGGTGGCGGGCGGCCAGGGGAGCAGGGCGCACGGCCCTCTCCTGGGCACCACGCGGGCGAGTGCGCGCGATGGTGCGGCCCGTGGGCCAATGGGCGCTGCGGGTACTTGGGTTCAACCCGATGTCTGCGACGGGCAACAGAATGCAGGAGATCGCGATGAGCACAGCGAACATGGACGTGGACGGCAACACTTGCCGTAAGCTTGAAGGTCTTCGGAAACACGCCTCTGAGTTGGCGCGCCATCACGCCTTGGACGAGCTAGGAAAGTCGCACTCCGACCACGTGGGGGGTGACGAATTCAAGGCAGCCCGCGCCCGGCAGAACAACATCCGGCTCCTTTACCGTCTTGCCCCTGGGCGCTCGGGCAGCGTGGGGGCAGTCTAGAAACCGAACGGGGACGTGGTGGTGGAGCCTGCCGCTATGGCCGGCGCATTGCGCACGCACTGGGCGAAAGTCTTGAAGAAGGTTGGCATCAACGCTGGGTTGCTGGATGCTTGGCTTGGCGAGGCTAGCGACACCCGCCCGCTCACGCACGTCATCAAGGCCAATGTAGATGACCTAGCCGATCCTTGGGGTCGGATGGGCCAAGTTAGGTCCACGAGGCTGCAACGATATAGTATTATGGGTTCCCGTGGGCGCATTACGAACGCAGCCCACCGTTGCAATGACGTAGCATCGTAGGAGCTTCACCACTACAAGCGTTAACTATGTTACGGTGTTATGCGCACATAGCACAATCCTCATACCCTTCCCCAGGATCCTCATCATCCGTCACATTCATCATATACTGCTCGCAGTCATCATAGTTGACATTGGCCTCCTCTTGCCTCTGCCTTCTCTCCTCCACATTTCCTGGGGGTCTGGTCTCGTTGTCATGCCTCCTCCTGCTCCTCCTCCTCTTCCTCCTCCTCCTCCTTCTCCTCCTCCTCCTGCTCCTCCTCCTCCTCCGCTTCCTCCTCCTCCGATGCACGAGGGGGTTCTTTAGTTTACAGGGTAGTTACACATCTGTTTTCGCGAGCGGGGCGGGATCGTGCATCCATCGAACTTCGCGTCAGCACGTCGCAGCCTCTTGTGGTACCAGACCACCTTTTTTTGAGGGAGCGCCAGTTCGCTTCTTTGCGCGCCCCCCTCCCGCAGAGTGCGGCGATGGCGGGCGCCATCGTGGCTCTGCCCCCGCCGGACGCACCAGGCGCGGGCGGCGTCGCGCGAGACATGTCGCCCGACACGGTGAAGCTCCACCACGACATGGGCACCGACAACTACTTGCTGGTGCACAGCGAGACCATGCAGGTCGCGCTGACGGTGCCGCCGCCCGCGGGCGAGTCGTGGACCTTGGAGTTCACGGACGCCGCCCCGTCCATGGGCTACATCTCGAGCGAGACGGAGTCCCACTGGGAACGTTTTTTTTCATCGGGTGGCTAGGTAGCAGGGGTAGCGGGAACAAAGGGGAACGTCGTGAGGGGGGAAGGGGGAGGGCGATGAGAGTAGGCGCGAAGAGGAGGGGAGGAGGAGGAGGAGTGACAAGGCGGAGGGGGTGAGGCGGGTGGGGATTGGAAATCAGGGTAGGGGGAATTGGGAAGGACGGTAGGGTCAGGGAGGAGATCGGGCCCCTCATCCCTCCCTCTACTCCGCCCCCTCCCCCCTCCCACCCTCTCAGCTATCGTCGTCCGTTCCCCCGCCCCATCACTCCTCCCTCTTCCTTATCCCCCCCCCCTCAGCAGGCCCCTCCTCTCGGCCGCCCCTCCCCTGCGTATGCGCCCCCCGCCGCCAAATCTGTTCAACTGCCTAATCGCGCCCTCTCCTTCTGCCCTCGTTCCCTGGCCTCCCCCTGATCGTTCTCCTCTGCGTCGCCCGCGCTCGCCCCTCCCCTCGCCCCACGTCGCCTCTCCTCCCCGTCGATTTCACCAGCATCCTTCTCATCCCTCTTTTCCCCTGTAGCCCCCTCTTCGTATTCCTCTGCGTCCTCCTCGTCGCTCTCGCCGACTTCCCCGTATATTTCCTCCTCCTTCTCGTGATCCTCATCTTCTTTTTTAGCGCAATCCCTGCCTTGCGATCCGTAGTCATTTTGACTCAAGCTCGGGCGTGTGTTTTGCGCGCGCCCGCATCGGCGCCCTCCGCCGTCGTCGCGAGTGCCCGTTGCTTGCTCGCCCTCGCCGAAGAAGGCTGCGAAGAAGTCGAGCCCGTCGAGTTCTTCTCAGAAGCCGCCGGCTTCGCCGAAAGGCACCACTACCACGAGAGTGCCGACGTGGCCAGAGATCATGAAGCGCGAGGCGGAGTTCGAGCGGGACTGCGCGAAGGGCAGTCTCACGAGCCAGCTCCCCGCCGACCTCAGGGGCATCGTGTGGGGCCTCCTCCAGGATCCCGCCAAGATCCAGCCGTGCTCCAGCCCGGTGGCGCGCAGCGTCCTCGCCGTGGCCATCAAGCCCAAGAAGCGCGGCAGCAGCGGGGTGAAGGGCGCCGAAGCGGAGACTTGGGACATCGACAAGAATTCGCAGATCCCGAAATATTAGCTGTGGGGGGTGATCAAACAAGCTGGGCCCGGGGACCTCGTCACCCCCGCGTTCATCGAGCGGTTCGATCGCCACGAGCGGTTGTTTGTCCGTCATTTCAACGAGGCGCTCAGTTCTTTGCGCCATGCCTACAAGGCCGTCGAGCAGATGAAGATGAAGCGGTTGGCGGGTCGGGTGTGTGGGGTTGCATTACCTCTTGGGTCCTCGCTGGCCAGCCTTTTCGCAGATGCTGAGCACGAGCTTCATCGAGTGGAAGCAGAAGGGCTGCTTCGTCATGTGCGAGCCCAACGAGAACGGCATCGTCACGCACATCAGGCAGTCAGTGGCGCGATTGCGTCAGTGCCGAAGTCCAACATGATCGCGAAGGAGGAGTGGTGGTTCGAGGAGAACTGGTCGGACAAGTTCTCTCGCTGCACGGACGGCGAGAGCGGCTTTCTCTGCTACGCCAGGTTCCACCATTGTTGCGACGAGTGGTGGTTCAAGATCGCTCAGGACCCGAGTGCCACGATCAGGGGGATCGCGATCCGGGAGGAGGCGAAGCTGGATGCCGACTGCGCCAAGGTGAGCAGCTCGGACGTCATCATCAGCACGGCAGTGGTCGCCGCTTCGGAGAACATGAAGCGCAGGAAGGTCGTCGGCAAGGGCCCCCGCCGAATGGTGCCTTCATGCAGGCCCCCGCTCCGAGCAAGGCTGGCAGGGCGCGCGACCCCGACGGCGACGCGTGCCCCGAGGTTTGCCGCTGAGTGAGCGGCGGGCCGCCGCCTGCCAGGCGAGGAGGGGGAGGGTGAGGGGGAGGAGGGAGGGGGGGGGGGGGGAGGAGGAGGGGGAGGGGGATGATGATGAGGAGGAGGAGGAGGAGCAGAAGGAGGAGGAGGAGGAGAGGAGGGAGGAGGAGGAGGGGGAGGAGGAGAAGGAGGGGGAGGAGGAGGAGGAGGATGAGGGGGAGGAGAAGTAGGAGGAGGAGGAGGAGGAAGGGCATGGAAGGTGCGCTTGGCTTTTTTTTTTTGTCGTATCTCAGTGTCGAATCGGCAGTCCAGTGGCCAGACAAAGGCACCCAGTAGGCAAAGCTGCGAGCAGCTTAGACGTTGTGAGGTTGCGGTTCGCCTCAGCGTCGACGTCCAGCCCCGACCCCAGATTTTTTCGACATGGGGCGCCATTGCATGCCACCTTTTTTTGTAGTGGGTTTAGCCGCGCTGCGCGGCCGATCGGCGCGGGTTTCGTGGCCCGACGGGCCCAGCTAAGACATCATTAGGATCGTGTACGCCACGTTCTGCCCATCAGCGAGTTGTTGAACAAACGAACGAACGTGGATCACCAGAGCACTTGCGAGGAGGAGGGGGAGGGGGGGGAAGAGGAGGAGGGGGAGGGGGAGGAGGACGACGACGAGGAGGACGAGGAGGAGGGGGAGGCGGAGGAGGAGGAGCAGGAGGAGGAGGAGGAGGAGGAGGAGGCGGAGGAGGAGGCAGGAGGGGGGAGGTCCTCTCGCGGGGCCCCCCGGGCTGCGATGTGGCAGCAGTGGCGGAGCCCAAAACATGTTCCCAGCGCTTAGTCCGCTGATCAGCCTCCCAAAATGGCAACAACATCAGCACCTTGGGCGTGTGTTAGTTCCCCCCTCCTCGCTAACCTCCATCCCCCCTGCCCCCCTCGTCCTCCAGGGGAGGCGACGCCCAGAGAGCCCCGAACGACTGACCTCCTCCATTGCTTCCTCCTCTGCTTCCGCCTCTTTCTCCATCTTGAAACAGTGTTGCTCTCCAGGCATGCTCGTATTTGGACCAGATCATGTACGCCGCCCAGGACGGGGCCATTCTCGTCTCGTCAGTCGTCGGCGGCGTCGAGTGCCAGGATTGGTTGAACAGCTTCTACTCTGACAACAGGCGGTACACCATAGGTATTCAGTATCCCATCGACACCGACTGCTTGGTCGACGTCGCGATTTGGAGGCACGAGCAAGACGGTGTGTGGTGGCCGCGACCTCAGCTTCACGCGATGCTCCAGCTGGCCGTCAGGGGTACTCGTGGCTCTTGGCTGGCGAACAGGAGGCCCCAGTGGACCAGGTATCTTGAGAACATGTCCCTTGGCTTCCCCCATTTTCGAGGCAGCATCCCGTATGCGAACCAGGGGCAGCGCCTTGACGCCCGCGAGGTCGCTTGCCGCCCTTTGCCGTGCCCGTCTGTGAGCACTCGTGCGTTGGTGACGCTATTGTGGGGATGGAGCTCGGGCCATCGGAACTACTGCAGTTCCGCGCAAAAGGATCACCAGCGCGACGCGCTCATGTTCCTCGACGGCTTGGCGGCGTGCCTACCCGATATCAAGATCAGGATGAACGTGGACCTCAACTCCCAGAGGATCGGTCGGCACACCATCGGAGTGAACCCCGTGTGCGTCAGCATGGGGAAGGACAAGATTCGCAAGGGCGGGTTGTGCCGCTATTTGCAGGACACCTTTAACGCCTGCGGGGCCCCTGAGACCCGGGGCAACACCATAGTGTGGCACGACAGAGAGGACGAGCTCGACTTCACCACCCTGAGCGCCATGTTCAACGCAGGAAACTTTCGTCGGTGTGAGCCCATCGTGAAGCAGTTGCTCTGGGGATTCGCCTCGGCTCTCGATGCGCAGATCGCCAAGGGGCAGGGCTGCGAGGTGGTGATGCCGCCAGACCTCGCCTTCGACGCGAACGACTTCGGCGGGGGTGCTGTCGCTCTCGAAGTTGCTGGCCGCGTCACGTCGCAGTTGCTCTTGAAGTACATCGTCGGCTCCAAGCGCCACTTCGGCAACTCCGACCGCCTGAGCTTCAACATGGGCGCCGGCAGGCAGGACCGCCGCAAGATGATGCACGGCGTCGCCGTGGACTCGCCCAACGTCGCAGCGCGGGCTCCTCCGCAGACCCCGGGGTCTCAGATCCCCGAGCTCAGGATCTCAGATCTGCGCAGCCCTGGGATCGAGTATCCGCGCCCCCAGCCCCCCAATCGGATCAGATATCCGAACCTGTCGCTCGAGACATCCTCGAAACTCTGCGTTCGATCTCAGATCTAACCTGAAACAGATCTCAGATCTGCTCCAGATCTACTGCTCCAGATCCCAAGTAGGCGACTCGGATTTCCTTCCCCTGGGCCCCCGCGCCCGAGGGCGCCCCCCCCCCCCCCCTGCGAGCCGCCCGGGTGCCCCAAGAGGCCGAGGGGTTTAGGTGATGGGGGGTTGTGCATTGATTTCCTGGAAGGTCATGAAGGACTACGAGTGCCAGGGTGGCGGAGCCCCCCCGGCAGAGCAGCAGAAGGAGCAGTGCCGTAAGCGACACAAGGCTGCCGCGCGGGCCCCCCTTAATATCGGACAGGATGTCGAGGCAGAAGCGGTTTCCATCGAGAAGTGCAAGACCTTCAGGCAGACAGCATGCAGTGTGCTCACGGCTTACAACAACATGAGGCTGCAGATGACTGGGCAGGGGCTCTCCGCTGCGATTGCGACGAAGGAAAATTTCGACGGCTTCAAGGACTGCATAACTTGGAAGTCCGACCACATCTGCTCCGACCAGGGCTCTGACATGATGACCATGAGGCAGTATTTGCGGTCATCTGTGGTTCTAGGCAACGTTGACAGCGACGACGACATCAGCCACGCGATCAACAACGACTTCGAGAACGCCGACAAGGAAACCAGCCAATGGGGAATGGAGCGTCTCCTTCGCATTGCGAGGAACGCAGTGCATGGCCCTTGGGACGAGCGGAGGCGATTTCATCAGCTGAAAGATTTGCTGCACGAGATCAGGCTTTACGTCGACCCGCTCACCTGCCCGATCTGGTTGGAAGCTGTGCCGCGCATCCTCATGGAGCAGGGCTTGGAGTCAAGGATCTCCGAGCCTGACGTGGAGAAGACTTTGCTCGACGAGATCTTCGACGCAAGCCATGGTTATCTTGTGAGCGCTGGGAAGAAAGATGCCCCAGCGCGGTGGCTATCTGATCATTGCCATTCCATGCATGAGCAGAAGTGCTGGTCGTGCGCATGGTCATTGCAGACGACGGCGGCCAGGCCTTCGCCAAGAGGATGAAGGAGTTGAAGGCGACGGCCCCGCAGCACGGCGGCGTAGCGGGCGAGAAGAAGACCATGAAAGTGACCGCCAAAGAGATCGACCGCTTCAGGCTGGCCACAACGGGTACTTGTCACCTGGCAGCTGTTGTGTATTCCAATGACAGCTACACATGGCAGGCGAGGGCTTCCATGGAAATACAGCGCCCATGGGCAGAGTGGTTCGTCCATGCCAACAAACTGCTCCGCAGCGTCTCCGAGACAGTCAAGTGGGGGATGGAGATGATCGAGGGTGGTATATATAATGTCATGTCCAAGATTTTCGAGGTATTGGGCGGCGGTCGTCGCGTTCTCTACAACATCGGCTTCGAGGTGGAGCTCGTCCCTTGCGGGCCAGACCGCACCAACGAGTACGACATTGCTGAGCAGGCGGACTTGGCGGCCCTCGTTGCACGGTACACTTGCGCCCTCAACCGTCTGCGGTACCAGCGATTGCTTGGCTTGCTGCGAGGATGGCCAAAGGGCACCGTGATGATGCTGTCAGACGTTCCAGGCGCTGCATCTCGCGCAGCACAGCGGTTCAGAGAGGATTTTCAAAACTTCACCCAACTCCAGCACATCAAGAAACCTGCTTGGCCTGTCAACATTCGCGCCGACTCGCCGTTCAACGCCGTCCCCGTCAGGCAGCGCATCGGTTGTCTGATGGGCGTCCCCTACGACACGAAGAATGCGGAGTACAGGCAGTGGCTCAAGAAGAATCGCTCACGCTCTCTGCTCAGCCAATCCGTCGAGGACGGGTTCTGCCGCGGAGTGAAGGACTGCGACACAGCGATGCGCCAGGACCGCAGCTGCAACAGGGCCTATGCCACACTTGTCGAGAGGAACATCTTGACCGAAGTCCATGACCACATCGAAGTGGATTACGCTTGGGTTCGCGACGTCCGCAACCCAGAGGTCCCAGCTGAGGTCTACTACCAGTCGGAGGAGTCTTTCAAGAAGGGGGGCAAGTTCGGTGGCATCAAGGGCGCCAAGGGGAACCCTGATTGGCCAAATTTTTCAGCGACGACCGAGAACAAGCCGACCGCTCAGATGGACCTGTTGGCTCACGCCAGAAGTCTTGGCACGACGGTCGATCATCAATTCGACTGCTCACTGCGCTCCCTTGAAGTGTGCTCGCATGGTGGTCAGGAAATTGCGTGATGCACAATGGTATTTGTCGATGGGTGATTTGTATGGCATCTTCGCGCTGGGCTTCCCAGTTGACATGGCCAAGATGCCTACCACTGGCAGGGGCTACTTCAAACTGCGCCTGGATGGCGCCGCCACCAACTGCAAGCACTTGCACGCGACCGACGTCGCAGAGTGGGAGGCAGCGCCCGTGCAGTGGGAGCCACCAGAGGCATCCTTCATCAAGGAGGGGAATGCGGAGTCCACGCAGGCCGACTTCAAGCTCCGTGCAGTCGCGTCGTCTGGCCCTGGTCCTTTGCTCATGGTGGCCGCTAGCAGGGAGTTCTTTGACTTGGGCATGACTGCGCTGAAGGATATTTGGAGGTGCGCGGGCTTCGGAAAGATCCAGGGGTCGCCGAACCTGTTCCAGATGCTGAAGATGCTCTGTCAGAAGGTGCTGAGGTGCGAGGACGCCGAGCTGATCCCGATCCTCCAGCAGCGCACCTTCGCGGTGGACGGCGAGGATGAGGCCCTCGAGAAGATAGAGGGCGTGCGGGACTGCTTGACAAAGGGGGAGATGGAGGACGCCGCCAAGAAAAAGGACACGAAAGAGGCCGCTAAAGAACATAAGAAGGAGTACCAGTCCGCCTACAACGCGTGGATGAAGAACACGAAGGCCGACAAGAAGGCAGCTGGCGGCCATAAGGAGCGGGCGTGGAAGCCCAAGGATTGGGCTGGCCCTGCAGTCTGCCCCGACCGCGCCACCGAGCAGCCCGAGGCCAAGCGCTACGCGCCCCCAGGGACGAGCATATGGATGGGGCAATCTCGGGAGCGGCGGCTGGCACGTCCACTGCTACGACGAGCGCAAGAGCAGGAGCTGGCTGGAGGAGGGCAGCTGCCTCGGGGCGCTTCTCTATGTCCTCCGCTTCTCCTGGCGGAAGCACTTAAAGAGGGTCGGTCTCCCTCTCAGCGATTGCCCTGTGAAGGGCCTTTTCGACGGCCAGCAGCCCGCGCTTGCCGCAGAGGCTGACCCAGCGGCAGCTGGTGCTGCTGCCGGCAGCGCTTGAGGATTTGAAGGATAAGGGGCGGAGGAGATAAGGCGGAGGAGGTAAGGGGGATGATGATCAAACACAAATACACTTTTTTTAGCGATCGCATGCCTTTAGCATCTTAGGCAGCAGTGCCTGGTGCGTGGGTGTCGCCAGGGGAGGTGCGCATGAGGAAGGAGAGGCCCCCCTCTCCGTGCCCTGGCGCTGGCAGTTACTAGGGTTGTCCGCCAGGGTGCGCACGCGACGCCAGTGCCATTGACGAGGGTGACCCCCTGTCCCTTCCCGGTTTGGCCCTCCTCTGACCCCTCTTCTCCCCGTCCTATGGGCCATTTCAGACAATCCCTCACCCTCCGCCTGTCTCTCCCTCCCACTTCCCCTTCTCCCCTTTGGCCTCCCCCTCCTCCCTCGGGCCTCCCTCTCCCCCCCCCGGGCCTCCCTCGACCTCCCTCTGCCTCCAGAGACAGTGGCGCGGCGGGCGCGTTCTCTCCCCCCCTCCCACCTCCTCCTCCTCCTCCTGCCCCTCCTCCTCTTCCTCTTCCTGCCTCATCCTCCTCCTCCTCCTCCTTCTCATCCTCCTCTTCCTCCTCCTCCTCCTCCTCCTCCCGTTCTGCTGTTCGAGTTGCTTAGTTCGCTCGGCGAGGTGATTCGATGTTCGACCGTGGCTTTCGCGGGAACGTCGGCGAGACTCGATGTGGTAGGCTTTGGTTGTTTACACATTGTATTCCAGATGCGCGCTTCGCCGCTAGCTTGCCACGACGTCCGCCCGTCTGAGCCGTCTGCGAAGTAGGAAGCGTGAAATGCGACTTGCATCATCATTGTCTTCCTCGTTTGTCCGCTCTGGCCTTGCATCGCGCTCTATCCCCTTGCCCTCCGTTCGTCTGATCCCTGATGGCCTCGCATCGTTCGCCACTTACCCTGCCCCTCCCCTCGCCCCCCCAAAAGGGGAGGTGGCGTAGGGGGGGTAGGATTAAGAGGAGTAGGAGGACGAGAAGGAGGCGGAGGAGGAGGATGGGGAGGAGCGGGGGAGGAGGAGGGGGGGGAGGAGGGGGAGGAGGGGGAGGAGGAGGAGGCAAAGGAGGAGGAGGAGGACGAGGAGGAGGAGGCGCCCGCAGACGGCAGGCCCCAGGCACTGGTCGGACCAAGGAGGCCTTGGCGGGGGGGGGGGGCTGTCGCGCTCCCTTTCCTCTTCCCTCCCTCCCCCCCTTTCCCTCTCCCTCCCTCTTCCCCCCTCCCTCTCTCCCTCTCCTTTTCCTTCGCTGCCCCCTCCCTCTCCTCTTCCCTCCCTCCCTCTTCCTCTTCCCTCACTCTCCCTCCTCCTCCTCCGCTGTCCTGCTGCTGCCGCCGCTGCTGCTCCTCCTCCTACTCCCCCCCTTCCCCCGCCCTCCTTCCCCCCCTCTCCCCTGCCCCCTTCCCCCCCCCCTTCTCGCCCCAGCAGGCCGCTGCCATTTTGGATCAAGCATTCTGCGGGGCAGAGGCCCTTCGTAGCGCCGTCGGCGCACTTCCGCGCCCCGCGCCCTCGGAGCCCTTCAGGATTCGACTGCGCGGAGGACTCGGTGTGCCCTTGCAGACGCCCATGGCGCCCCCAAGTGCGTTCGCTGTCGCCCGACGTGTAGGTGGCTTCGGGGTATTTTCACCGCTGAGATCGGGTAGTGTATGTCTTATGGGCAGTGCGTCACGCGCCCCAGGATGCAGTTGAGGAAGTCGCATTTCGTGAAGGCTATCTTGACCTCCAACAACTCCGCCCCCGGCCCCGATGGCGCCCCCTTCTTGGCCTGGAGGCGGTGCGCCAAGTTCTCAGCCAGCCTGCTCTTGGACGTCGCGCGCTTTCTCGGCGAGATGGGCCCGGACGGCGTGGATTCGAATGTGATGGAACATTTTAATCGCAGCTTGCTCTTCTTTCTTCCCAATACGGCGTCTGGCGCAGCTTTCAACGGCGAGGGCTTCTACGAGCTGCGCAACGTCCGCCCCTTGAACGTGACCAACACCGATAATGGACTGGTCGCCAACGCCATGCGCATTCTTACTGGGCCCATCGTCGGTCCACGAATCAGTGCCGCGCAACGTGGTTTCGTGGCAGGGCGCTCGATGCTTGCTACTCTGGTCGATATTGACGAGGCCATGGTGGAGGCCGCGTGCGTTTCAGACGAGGCTGGGGCGTTGTTCTTCGACTTCGCCGCTGCCTTCCCGTCAGTGGAGCACGACTTCTTAGTCGAGGTGTTCGACAAGCTTGGGTGGCCCACCTGGCTTCTGAACGTGATCTTGTTGTTCTATTCTAGCAACGCGTGCACAATCGTTCTCGCAGGGCCGAAGCACGTTGGATTTGCGATCACCCGTGGAGTTCGCCAAGGCTGCCCCCTCTCGCCCTTGTTGTTTGCCGTCGCGTCCGACATTCTTCTTCGCCGCATTTCGCGCCGCGTGCCAGGCGTTGTTCTTCGCGCTTATGCGGATGACGCAGCGCTGGTTCATCGCCAGATTTGGGCGCACCTCCCTACCATCGAGGGAGTGTTCTCTGAGTTTGCGGAGGTCGCGGGCTTGCGGCTTAACGTCTCCAAGACCGTGTTGGTCCCGCTCTTCTGTCTCGATCTTGCCGCGGCGCGTGGCCGATTGGCCGCGGTCGCTCTGAATTGGGGCGGTCTAGAGGTCAGCAGCCACGCCAAGTACCTGGGTTTCGTCATCGGCCCGGGCCGCGGGACATTGACATGGGACACAGCTCATTGGTCCGAAAGATACCCGTGCCCGGGGCCAGCCAAGGTGAGATGGGCCGTCCGGGGGACTGGGCGCTTGCTATTGTGCCCGGTCAGCTTGCCCCGCGCGCGCCAGTGCAGCATCCGCGCGTCAAGACGCAACGGCGCGCTCGATGGTTGGGTGTCTGATTGCAGCGACAAGCGCTGGGTTTTGTTAGGGGCGTCTCGGGGCATTGTGGTGCGTGCGCGGTTCAAAGCCGCCCGTATGTGGCGGCGCCTGTCCCAATCGATAAAGAGTTGCATTTCCTCGCTATCCTGGCAACCAATGCGTCTGGGCCTGCCCTGAGGAACGACGTTGCAATGTCGCGCCCCCAGGGGGGCCGCAGCGGCCACGTTGGGGGCGGCTCTGGAGGGCATGATATGTGCTCGAGAGCGTTTTGGGCCTGCCGCCACTTCGGCTAGGTGCGGGGACCTGCCTGAAACCACCTAAACATACCCGGACCTAGCTGGGGTGAGCTGCGGCACCCCGTCTAGGTACGGGTATGTTTTTGGGGTTCTCATGGGGCAACCGTACCTAGCTGGGGTGATCCGCAGACGGCCGTCCAAGGGGGGCGGCCTCTGGCGACCTCGCCCAGGGCACAGATTCGCGATGTCTCTGCATCGAGCAATTCGCGATAAGGCGGTTGTCGCGCAATGACGTTCGCGCCAGAGTTGTTCGCATGCGCCCCCGAGTGCGCGTTGACTCCTCAACGCCCGGATGTGTGTCTGGGGGCGCGCCTCCGCAGTAGCTGGTCTACATCGACAACATCCAACGCAGGGTCGGGCACTCCGCCGATTCGAACGCACGTGAGATCGGTGCTAACGTGCGCCCCGAGAAGACAGCGGTCTGCAATGCTCGATCGGCTGTCGTTTCTACACTTGTGCAGCCGCCGTCAGCTGCGACGAACCGCCCCCCCGGCCTCTTGCCACCCTGTCTAGGTAAGGGTACGGGTATCTTTCGCGCTCGAGAAAAGCGTTGGCGACGTTTTCGGAGAGAGCGAAGCTCTGGGGCAAGCTCGGGGTGGGCTCGCTACTGTCCCTGGATGCGTACCGAGTGTTCATTGCCTCGGTGGTCATGTTCTGCGCCCAGCTGGACATCCTGCCCGACAGGTTCGTCGCGTGCGAGGAGGCTGCGGTGCGGGCTATGTTTCCGGGCTCCTGGGGATGGATGCCGCCTACGTTGGCCAAGTCTCTGAAGCTCGCGACCTTCCCAAAAGAGCTGATGGGCGCGGCGGCGGAGGCGCGCGCCGCGCGTGCCAGGGTCGCCGTGCACGAGGATTCTCGACACGGCGGGCCCGCAGTTCGCAGTCGCGCGCGGCCCCTTCGGCTCGTTCTATCTCAGGGGGGCAACGCTCCGAGAGTCCGTAGCTGGGGCCCTTGGGCGACGAGTTGCTTCATCCTCAACCTCGGCGCGGCGCTCGACGCGACCGAGGCCGCCTTCCCCAGCGACCCCAGCATCCTGGACGCGAACCACCCGGATCACGAGGAGGTCGGCTGGCAGGCGGCAGTCTCGCGCAGATTCCGGCAACCTCATGAAGTGGGGGCTCTCTGGCATCTTCGGAAGCGTCTTGATCATTGGATCGTTCCTGTGCTTCCTGGGCGGCGCGTCGACCGGTGGATTCGCTGCGGACATCGCATCTCGGAGCTCGTCCCGCCCAGAGTTCTCTCTGCTAGGTCCCGCGCGGTGCGCAATGGGTGGACCACGCCCCGGCGATTCCAGGGCTGTGGTGGCGAAGATAGCGTGAAACATTATGCCTACTGCGCCGTCTACCGCGCCCTCTCCAGGAAGCACCTCGGCTTACGTCGCCCGGAACTGGGTTTGGAAATCGCGGAGTTCGTCGGTCTCGAGTCGGTCGCGTCTACGTACAACGGCAGTTGATCGAACGTGGAGGTCATGTCTCTGAGAGCTGCGTCGGCGCACCCCTCTTCTCGCGTGCACGGCGCGGTCCGCCGCGGCCTGTCGCCGACCAGTGGTGCGCGGGCGTTCTCCGGGTACCTCCGCGAGGCGTGCCGCTGTCGCGCCAGATTG